TCTGGGCCTGCATTTCTGAACCCGTGCCCCACACTGGTGACACTGTGCTGCAGGAGCTGCTGCCCTCCGGGTAGCAAAGGCGAATGTTTCTCATTCGTTGGCCACGACAGATCCCATCGTACTGTGTCTCCACGCCGCCCCCCGGTGGCCTAACCCACACATGACACCCCAGGTCCGGCAGCTCCATTACGGATGGTGTTGACACTCTGTCAGCAAGATACTCTGTCTGGGTAACAGCACTGTTCGGGAAGCTGTGAAGTCCCTCAGGGTTTCTGTATATACTGTAATCAGTGGACTGTAAGTGCAGTTTCATCTCTGGCTAACGCGGAGTGAGCTGTAAACACGAGTACCCCGTGGTCAGGGGTTCAAACTGCAATGATCTACCAACTCGTCTAGGGGGAGACATCTGCCCTACTTTTAGCATGGAGGTTGCGGAGAGGTGGTGTTTTTTTCATTCTCTGTAGTCTCCTGGAACCTCTCTTCGGTTATTCTGAACAGCTGAACAGATCAGTGTGTGCTGATCTGGAGACCTGGACGGTGTCTCCTGGTCGTGATGAGAGAGGGACCACAGGGCCAGGGCATTTAGAAGATTGGTGTTTCCTGATTACTGCCTGATGTTTTTTCCATGAGTTCTCATGTGGTTGTTTCTGGCCGGGGGTGTTAACCCACCGTAAAGTCCTTATAAGTCGGATTTCAGGTCAACAGGGAATGTGAGGAGCAAAACCCTGAAAATAACAGGAAGATCCAGGCTGTAAACTCCCTGTGGAAAAGGTCAATGCTTGTGAGTTGAGTGTCTGACACAAATAAGCCCCTTTGTTCCCTTTTGAAGTACTTCCTCTCTGGACAGGAAGAGGGTTCCTGTCAGCTGATGGCTCACCTACTGATAGGAAAGGACCTTATAAGTGATCCTTGATACAAACAAGAGACTTATAAAACATGGGTCTGCTACAGTACATGAAGGTGCCCTCCTCACTTGGGGAAGTGATCTGGAACTCAGGAAGAAAAGATGTGGTGAAAGAAATTGTGTACTCTACACTACTTGGCAGCTAAACTGCATGAAAAATTATTTTAGTCTGAGTCCTAGAGACGGGGGCAATTATTGTTGCCTTACTGTTTGATTCTCACCAGCCATGAAATAGTCATTTCACCACGTCAAACGTAATTTTAAAAAAATTGAAAAGAGATTTTTTTACTATAGGAATCCCTACTAGAATTGTTAACACGGGATAGATAAACTCTCACTGCGGTTTGGCTTCTGATGGTAACTGTATGTGTGCTCATGTAATGTACTGTATACAGTAATAATGTGGCCTGCTGGTCAGATGAATCATGATTCATTTCCTAATTCTCTGTTGAAATATGTGGTTGACGTGGTTAAGTTGAAGGTAGTAATTTAAGCCATGCTCATTCACTGTATGGATGTAGCACAGCACTACCGCACCTGTGAGACAGCTCACATCACTGACTATCGCCTGGCTCACAGATGCCCAGCCTTACCTGGCTGCATGTCTTGAACTCTCCCAGGTTTTGCAGGTCTCCTGGTGCAGGTGTTCTCTGCATATGTGCCTGTTCTCACAGCATAATGCGCAGCTACTGTGTGCCTGCTCCAGACTCATTCCTCACCCATACTTTCACCAGTGCCACTCTTGCTGAAAAAGACAGTACCTCGTGCAAGCAACTAACAAAAGTCTTAAAAATTCAAAAATCTGAAGTAGTGTGACTGCTTACTACCAAGGAAGCATTTTTATGGCTGAAGTGTACCTACTGATTTGTAGTACTACTGGATGTGCATGCAATTAAAAAAAAAAAATTCCCAAACACTTAAAATCCCGAACGACAGCGTTGCATTTGGGGTGCGAGTACTGGACACACACACCCCGTTCTGTGTTAGTGACGATGTTTGAGAGGCTCTTGCACTGTCTCTTTCACAAACACTGGTCTTGCACAGAGTCAGGCTGTCTCTGCTCTCACGACTTGATCTCTGATTTCTACTTCCCTGCCTTGTTTTTCTCTGTCCCGACGGCTGCCCTGTCCTCTCCCCCGGGGGACAGACTGACCTCTGTTCTCCGTACGACATTCTGCAGTCTGACGTGCGGCCGGTCGGGAGGACCGTCTGCGCCCTGCTGGTGCGCACAAGCGAGAGTCCAGGCCTGGGTCCCCAGGCCCCTCCTCCTGCCTGGCACGTCTGGGACCTTATAGGCTCCAGCCTCTTGCACGTTTTCTGCCTAGTCCTGCTATTTATCGCGTACAACTGGAGTGAACTAACATAACCTGGGATGCGTGTGCATGACGCCTTGTCTTTTCATTTCAGTGCTTCTATCAAGTCTTTAAAGCCTCCAGACAAGAGCGGTTTAGTGAGCCAATGTTTCCATCTTACAGCACACATTGCATTACAGGTACCAGGAAAGCACATATCTGAGAACGTCTTTTAATCAACCGTCCTGACAATGCTGAGCTCTTTTCGTTCTCCTTCCTCCTAATCAATTGTTTTACACCTGATCTTCCTTGGCCGAGTTGTGTCAAAGGTAATACTGGAAGATCAAGAGGCATTATGGGACTGGTTTGGGCTTGGAGATGGTAATTCTCAGATAAGAAAGACACCTATAGTTATTTGACAGCTTTAGCATTAAACGTTTTAAAATGTGCACTTCTTTACTTCTTTTATTGGGACTTTTCACTCTTCTTTCGGCATTCATCGGGTTTCATTAGGCTTTGTCGTAACGACACACATCCTGCAGACTACGTATATATTCTAAAATGGATCTTACTGGCACTTCTGTTAATATGACTCCTTAGAAAGACTAGTTTACGTGTAGAAAACAGCCAGTGGTGTATTAAAAATGTACAGTATATAAAACAATGATACATTCTTGATAAATAGAACTGTACAGAGTAGTATTCATGCTTATTTGCAGCAAAGAGATATGGGTAGTTTTGTATCTCGCATTCTTATGAAAATAGCCAGTTTGTCTGACTTTAGTCTATGTTAGGGCAGCTTTATAGCCAGATATGGGTATTTTGTATAGTAAAAATATATAACCTAATTCCTGTTCATACTGGGAGTCCAAATATGAGATGACCTGACAACAGTGAGAGTGTCGATGGGGTTGTTTTCTTTCCAGGCTAAACTCATTTTTTCTTGAACAATAAGTCCCTTTTGGGATTATTATTCTTCATCAATATGAACTTTAAATTTTGCCAGTTTTCTCTCAAAAGGAGAATCTTAATTATATTTTATGCTCATATCATGGTATATCTACTTGAGTCAAAATACATTTCTTTGTGTTGTAAGTGAACACTTTAAATTCCTATCTACTCTCCCAGTAATCCTTCTTTTTCATATTTTGCTTGTTCATTGTGATTCTTTCATTAATGATTAAGGAAACACTGTAGGAAGGAATCACACATTTTTCATGCTTAATTGCTCATTTGGCTGCTAATTTGACAGAATTAATGCTTATCAAAGCAATAGACAGTTTAGATCACTTTGGATAATTTTTTTGGAATTAATGTGTTTAAGAAGTCTATCCTATTGTTTTTCTTTACTGTTTTTTGTTTTAATATTAAGAAGTGTTAAGTATGATATTTATTAGGGTTTTATTTTTACTGCTTGCATATTTATTAAATATGGAAATTAAAATATATAATTTGATGTATTCTTACTCTGATCGATCCAAACCGGTGAAGTGATGTTCTTTTTCGCTATTATACATACATACATCCTGAGTTATACATACAGTAGTTTGTTCTGAGTGAATTGGCGTGTAAAGAATTTGAAACCATCATTCTTGAGATCTGTGTGATGTCAGAAGTTTTCAAAGTGCATTATCTGTAGCTGTACGTCAATATAATAGATGCTGGAAAAAGGCCACAAGTAGAGTTGAGACCTACAGTATCAGCAACAATCTGAAAATGAGTTCAGAGTTCGATCTGACAACCAGTATTACTTTCTTATTCTTATTGGGTGGTGTATCTGAAACTATTTAGATAAAAATTTCAGCATCATACAAGTATCCCAGCCTGCTCCACATGCTTCCTCTGTGTTAATTCATTGTATTTGTGCTGTTTGTCTTCCTGTTTTATTCACGTTTTCTGTGCTGCCTTCTTTTCATTTTAGGAGAAGTTATGTCTGCCCCATCACATACTTGAAGAGAAAGGCTTGGTTAAAGTCAGCATGACTGTCCAAGCGCTGGTGGACGAGGCCACAACCAAACAAGCCTTGTTTACATGAGCGCCAAGTAAGACGGAGAGGGAATCAGGCTCACAGCAGTGCCTGAACGAGCAGCGACAAAAGTGTTTCTAGCACACGGTCATAGCCAAAGTGAATCAACACATATTGCCGCTATACTTCCTGAAAGAGAACTGTTTTTTTTTTTTTATAAGGGAGCATTTTTCAATTTTTATACTGACCACAAAGCTTTCAGCGCTTGTTTTTTTTATGATTATTGCTGTTCATGGAGCAGGATTTGCTGGCCGGTTGATGCAGATCTTTGTTTCGAGAGCTGCCCACCCACGCTCCTCTGCCCGGCTGGAGCAACTGTGCTCCTGGCGGAGGTGGTATTCTAGAGCAGCATGGCACCTTCCAAGGGCTTGGGTTCATGGTCTGGACTACTTTTTAAAAGTTTAGGAAAATTTGAGCATTCTGTATGTAATATAAAAACAAAAGCTGTTTTTTTTTTCAGTTAATGAACTTTGGGGCCAGTTGGATCGAAAACCCAGACAGGACCGGGGTCTGAGAACCAATATTTAATATACTTCTATAAGCAGAGCATCCTGAGCTTATCAGCGGTCTGTTACACGGACTAGCATTACAACCTAGTATTTATATTATTTATTTAAAGTGTTTAGTTGTTCAGGAGGATGATGGATGTATACTTCACTAAAATGTATCCCAAAAATGCTTTTTAACACAGTTAATATATTTTGATATACAGCGAGTGTAGTCTGAAAGTGTATGTTTTCTATCATTGTTTTTAAAAGTCAAGTGGCTCTCCATTGCGTCTCAGGGGTTAGTGACTTCCTGCATTGTGGCATTTCATTCCATGGCTGGTGCTTGTATGTGCATGTATTTGTACTGTGGGACATTCCGGAGTTTCGCTGACCACTCCAGCTCCTCTCACATGAGACACGCGTGCTAAAAGCGGGCCAAAATGTTGCTGAAAACCAGTCAAGGTCTCGAGAGAGAGAAGGTGTGGAGGCGTTGGAACGAGGAGCAGAGTGGTACATACACTAGCACAGCACAAAGCACCATTTCGTGACTCTTCACTGACGTTAGTTAGCGTTCTTCTGAAAATGAAACAACACTGTGAATGAGCTGTGTCAACGCAGTTTTGTTTTGCCCAATTGTTTTCATTGTCCCCACCACCGATAACTAAACACTAGGCCCTGATAAAGACCAAGTAGAGGTTTATTCCATGCTGAAAAGAGAAGAAACACAACGTTTCGGCTGTGGACCCTTCTTCGGGTGTTTCTTTTGCAGCCTAGGCGTGCTGACGCAGCTCCCTACTTTCACCGTGCCCTGGTGACCTCTAACAGACTCGGTCAGCGCAGCTGTGCAAGTGCTCGTTTCTGGTTTGGAGAAACGCCGGTTAAAGGAAAGCAGGGCTGTGTCTAACAGATTGACACTCTAACTGACAACACTAGCTCAGTTGTATTCTTTTGGGTCCCATATCTGTAAGAAACTGACTTCGCATCTTATGTATGAATGGAATAGAAATGTTGAATCGGCAACTTCTGTAAAGACATGGAAGGCAGAGGTGCCAATAGCATTAGAGGATAGTGTCAGTCTTTATTTTGGTTATGTTTCCAAAGCAGAAGTATGCGCGACATGACCGAAGAGGTCATGATCTGTAAGCGCCGAGTCTGTCCTTTTCATTTTCCAGTTTCAATTGAGATTTTTAAGCGTTTGGATTTTCTCCTTCCTGTCTGAAATCGTGTCCCATCACCAGGATTTGAAATGTTATTTTCTGACTAAGTTTATAAATCACTATAGCAGATTGACGTGGTTGAAAACTATGCATCGTTTGCACAAATTTAAACACTTCAATGGAGCTTAGATTCTAGGCTATTCTTCTGATGCATTCATGAGGAAGACATTGCACTTTCGTGGTGAAGGGGTTATTGCACAGTGTGGATTTGTATTTACAAGTGTTGCAGGATACTCAAAACATGATGAATGTGTGATGGAAAGGGGGCTTGGGGCTATTTTGTGAAATTTCATATTAATGGAGCTTGGCATCCTAATTTAAAACTACTTCAAGATTCAGCAGCAAAATACAATTTCAATAGAAGTGTATGATAGATGCCAAAGGCCTGGACTATCCTTGGAAATGAAAGTTAAGAGCAACGACGTTCATACAGTATTGAAGAAGGTAAAGGAGACTGGTTAAAACAGAAATATGTGTTTTTCTAATTTAGCATGTATATACAGTATTTCGGATGTTCAGATTATTTTTAGACTGGATTTGGATATGTGTAAATGGAGCTGCAAAGTGATGTAGGTTTGCGCAAGTAGGGTTTCAGAAAATTTAGAAAGTTTTTTTTTTATTTTAGATGTCATGTATTTCTTGGAAACTAGAAAAGCCTCCCCTTTAATTTATCCAGGTAGTTCATGCTGATAAACTTAACCATGTTTCGAATACTCCCATGACTGAAAATATTCATTCACAAAAATAGGTGTGGGTTTCCAGACAACACAGGAAGTTCAGGCTTTCCTCTTCTTTTACTTAAGAGCTCTTCCTAAACCAAAAGGGCTCTGCATGTTTGAATTCCATACTTAAAAGGTAGCCTGTTTTTACAATGAAGCACAGGAATTTATGGGTAAAAACAAGAAAAAATCATTCAAAATGACAATGGAAGCCCACATATTTTCCTAAATTGTGTTCTTGTTTTTCCAAGCACGGCACGCCACATTCAGTCAAGGAAGACTGGATCCTAATCTCAAACACTTCCTCTTGCCTAGATATAGAAATGTCGTGCCCAGAACTTCCTTTCACTAATCTCTCTCACATTCCCCCCACCTCCCCGTCTCCACCCCTTCAGGAGCTCCCTGGCTCATTCCTCACAAGAGGGAAATAACTACCGTGTAACTACTGAAATTATCTGCACATGCCAGTGACTCGTCTTGTTTAAGTAATTTGGTTGGATCCTAAAGAATGTGAGAGAAAGACATATGTATAAAGTATTTGGCAAGGCTCATCTAGCTAAGGGAACAGCAGCCTGTCTGAGGCTGGATAATCTGCCCAAACTCCCTCTCATTCTGGCAAGGAACGAGCCAGGGAGCTGCTGCAAGGGTGCAGGTGGGGTGAAGGGGGGTGTGCAAAAGAGATACATGAATGAAAGCCCTGAGTGCAAGAAGTATATACTGCACATAAGCACGAGAAAGTGTGAGAGATTTGGATCTGATCTTCATCCCAAATTTCTTTTCTAAACTCCATTGATTGTCTTTTAGGAGACAAGACTATCAGACCAAACACATTTGAGTGCATGCCCAGAATATTGTGGCAGCATTTAAAAATAAATCTTTAGTCCATTAACGGAATGTACCTGTAGCTACATTGCTTGAAACCTTAATGGCAGCTAGCTTGTTTGACATAATCTGCACTTTAATGTTTATTTATTATTTTTTTACAACATGTAGAGGTGGTGATAATCATATTTTGGTTGTTTAAAAATACACAATACTTGTAATTGAATGAATTAATGAAAAATGAGGCTCTTTCTCCTTTACTCCAAAACGCTAACTGCTGAATCTTGAGTAGTGTGTTTTTATAGAGGAACTTGTAACTTTTTTTACAGATCTGGATTTTCTTGGTCAGATAAGTTTTATTTTGTATTAATGAGTTTTTATGTATGTTTAAAGTCAGATGTATCATGAATAAAGTATGTTAAATATTTTGTTATACTGCTTTTTACACTATGTCCATGAATATGGCTATTAGGGATTTCAATAGTCTTTGTACAGCACTACTTCTTTAAGTGTATTAAACATATAAACCATTTTTACCATCGCCTTAACTGCTGTAAATATTGTACATAGCACAAATGTTACTTTAACAGTAAATGTCTTATTTGTAAAAAGCACTCCCGCCTCTGTCTTTTTTGTGAAAAATAAAGTTACAAAGTGAATCAGAATTTCAAACACAGAAGAAGGCATCATGTCGTTTGAAACATGCAACTGGAGACCGTCATTAGAAAACCAGGTACTGGCCCTGGACGGGCTGTGCATACTGTACATACCTAACTGGCATCAACATTGAGCTTTTACATTTTATAGAAATTTGAATTCTGGATCCTTACCCCAGAATGAATGAATATAATGTAAGGGGGAAGATTGTATTGTGTAGATTTTCATTGTGTTGGATTTGGATATGTCATGTAACTCAGGGCTCATTCATTTCAGGCAGAGAGTGTAGGTTTTAGTTAATGAAGGGAAGACTGACTCAAGTAAACTGAATATTCAGATGGAGGGGTGAACATGTGCACAGAGGGCACACCGGGCCGGAATCGAACCCAGGACCCAAGAACTATGAGGACTGTCTAGCTAACAGAATCATCAGTCAGCTGACGATGTGAGCAGGAAATCGGGGCGATACTGCTGCCCTCCAGGATGAAAGTCTGAGACATGTAACCCCCTCAACATTATATATAACTAAGGGAAATGCTGGGATTGCATGACACAACACCTGAATGATTATTTCAGACACTGATGCCAGTCACATACAGTACCTTTATTCTGTTACAAAATCACTGTGAACTGGGAGAAGCCGAGTTGCCCGGAGCTGGGCTCCCAGGCATCAGAAGGCACAGGCGACCCATGTGGGTGGAGATTTAAGCGTTCAGGTACTTGGCATGGTGCTTGATGTGATCGGCGATGAAGGAATACACAAAGTAGTAACTGTGATCATAGCCCTGGTGGAGGAAAGAAGAAAAGAAGCATTTAACACTACATACCACTAGGCGAGGAACATTATCGAAATCTCAATAAAATAAAATCATGCTGCCAAATAACTAGACCTTTTCGTGCTGTCCACACACCAGAAAAAAAGAAGAACACTAAAACAGCCATCCATTCCTCTTCTAACTGCTGTATCCAATACGGGGTAACAAATGTCAGCAACAGGCACAGGGCAGGGTACACCCCGGATGGGATGCTAGTGCACTGGAGGGCAGACAGACACCAGGGGCACTTTTCCCAAAGCCTAGTAATGCACCAGTACGTTTCTGGACCAGAGCACCCAGACGAAAACCACGCAAAAATGAAGAGAACATACGAACTCCACACAGAGAGCACCCCAGGAACTGAACCCAGTGCCCCAGCGCTGTGAGACAGCACTGCCAACCACAGCACCACCATGCCACCACCCCAGAACACTAAAACGGCATTTAAATTTCCTGTCTTTATTACATTCTTACATTACATGGCTGCTGGCAATGTCATGTAAAATGTTTTTTACATGACATTGCCAGCAGCCATATCACCCTGCAACTCACAGCTGGCAGCCCACTGGAGCTCAGCAGGCGTGAGCCTGGTCAGTACCTGGATGGGAGACCTCCTGGGAAAAACTGAGGTTGCTGCTGGAAGAGGTGTTAGTGGGGCCAGCAGGGGGCGCTCACCCTGCAGTCTGTGTGGGTCCTAATGCCCCGGGTATAGTGGCGGCGACACCATAATGTAGTGCGTGCCTTCTTTCGGAAGAGACGTCAAACCGAAGTCCTGACTCTGTGGTCATTAAAGATCCCTGGGCATTTCTCGATAAGAGTAGGGAGTTATCCCGGTGTCCGGGCCAAATTGCCCCATGTCTGACTGGCTTGCACTTGCCCTGTGATGGACTGGTGTCCTGTCCAGGATGTACCCTGCCTTGTGCTCGTTGCTTGCTGGGTGGGCTCCGGCTTCCCACGACATGATATGGTATGCATCAAGGATTCTCATTTTGTCACCTCTCCCACCATGACAAATGTACTCTTTTATCTGGCCTACAGGGTGTTTTTCTTTAAGAACAAACAGGTCTTTCCCCTGTTCTCGCAGGCTGGGAGGGACGCGGACGCAGCCGAGCTCACCTGCTGCAGTCGGAACACCACAGGGATCTTCTTCTCCGTGCAGGCCGCGATGAAGTTGTCTGGCAGGAGCTGCCCAGCTGCAAGGAACTGGTCATCCTTGCCCTGGTCAATCAGAATGTCCAGCTGGGGGCCAGAATAGGAGCTCACCAGCACTGTGGCATCATAGCTCTGGCAGAACACCGCAGAGAAATGGACACCGTGCATTAGGGCAGGTCCATGAGGAAACAACACCATCCGCACACCGTCACAAACCAACATTACTGAGAAACCGCGAGTCAGAGCTCCAGCACTTCATTCCAAAGGGTCCTACCTCCCATCCCGAACTCTCTGAACCCAGATACCCCCTGAAGGCCTTCTGGCCCCAGGCACACTGCATGGGGTTGCAGATTGGAGCAAACGCTGAAACAGCCTGCGAAAATAAAATCAGGAGCAGAAAACGGTATTACCCTTCTCACCGTGGCAACTCGTGATTTTAGATAACAGGTAATTGCAATAACATTTTGTTCCCTCGATAGTAACAGAGCTCCTGCCTCAAATACAGTATCTGAAAAAGGGTTGTGGTGAAAATGAGAAGATTTGGTTTTACTTCTCTGTGTCCCTTATTCAGCAGTGGCAGGAGCTCCCTCTCCACACACTCTGTACCTATACCTATACCTAAAGTGCAAACGTCTTCTAATACTTACCAGTAGAAAGAAAAATCTGACTTTTTAGGTCAAAATATAGTGAAAGCTGAGTAAGTCTCTTAAAACTTGTAAGTGCTTAAGAAAGTAAGAAGCAATTAACTGTATTAAGAGTGAGTGCCCTAAATGTGCTCTCCGTGGAGACTCAGGGTGTCTTTCTATATTTCTGCATGTAAAGGACAATACTGTCACCTTCACTATGGAAGTATACCTTAACAGTTTGACGTTTATAAATTATTGTCTAAGTTACACATGTAAATGGCTGAGAAACACATTTAAAAGATACTTAGTCAAACTCTGCAATAATAATTACATCTGCAGATAAGCGTTTTGGAAAATTGAATTTGCAAAGCCACAGGTTCACCATAACTGCAGGAAAAGCCTGTTTTTTTCTGAAGAGCGGGACTGGGTTTGTTTCAAACAGAAGACGAGAAATGAGTGCTCGAGTTCCACGATCAAAAAAAAAAGAGGCTTCATCTCGCGAAGTACAATGGCCTTTTCATCTCCCAGCAGACACAGTCTGAACACTGAGGCAGAGCCGGAAAGCATCGCCAAGGCACTGGCGCCCAACCTGCCTTGTATTTCCCAGGATTCTTCAGGGCGCAGATCAGAGCTCCGTGGCCACCCATGGAGTGCCCAGAGATGGACATCCTGTCAGGGTCCGCAGGGAAGTTAGCGTTGATCAGGCGAGGGAGCTTGGGAAGAGAGACCAGTAATCATAGGAGTCCTAATTTAACAAATCCGAATATTAATACTGCACACTAGAGTGCTCTGAATACAAACAGCTCCATTACAGAGGGAGACCTGCAGACACACTCCACAGCAGAGGATTATTCAAATGTCACTGAGCCTGTGAAAGCAAAGGATAACTAAAGCATCACATTACACAAGACTTCACGTGCAGAAACAAAGAGAGAAGCAGAGGTAGCGCACAAATTCACAGGCCCAGATCTTAAATAAACCGAGCAAACGAAGAAGACGATGCCAGCAATTAGGCGAAATGCAAACAAAAAAAATTAAATGCAGGGATTGGCCAAAGCTTTTTTTTTTTTACGAAGCTATAAAAGCAGGCGGAGATGCGAAATCCAGCCAGTGAAGCGAACGTGTGATTTTGCTGAATGGTTAGATGACAAACCTCCTCTGTGACGTAGGAATACATCTGGTAATTGGTCTTCCAGGGCTCCTCTGTGGCGTTGACATAAAAACCAGCTCCAGTGCCAAAGTCCCAGCTCTCATCCTCCCCTTCGATACCGCAGCCCCCTGGGACCGGCGAGAAAGAGCACGCAAAGGTGAAGAAAACAAAAGGGCAGATTTTTTCACAATCTAACTGGTGAAAAGGGGCCGAACGTGATGAAAAGTCCTCCTTATTAGACCATGTCTGATGCGTGAAAGATTACATGATGCTACCAAATAACTCTGGGCCTTGTGCTCGTGTCGTGAGCGAGCTTGAATGCGAAGGATGGCGAGGGGCTTACGAGGACTGGTGTCCGGGGCCACGATGATAACCCCGTGGTCTGCGGCGGCTTGCTGGCTGCCTCCTTTAGTAATGAAGTTCTGCTCTGTGCACGTCAATCCTAGAGAGACAAACGGGATTTTAGAGGTCAGGAAATAAGTCAGAATGCACACGATTGCTGTTATCCCGCAACAAAATCTTTCAGTACTGTACTGTACGTCTACAGCCATAAAGGTGTGCGAGATGCAGGCAGGAAGGAGGTGGCAGAAGGATGGGTTTGCTTACTGTTTGGTTCTTGATCAGTGTATAAGCCTTTATACAACACGGCCCTCCCAGTTAACAACACAAGAAAGGATGCAAACACTATGAGGCCTTTCGGCCCATCTAGCCCGTCCGCTAATTAGTAGTTAATGGAGCCAAGCAGCAATTTGAGTAAAAGAGAAAGTATTTCAAACAATATTACAATGGGTACTGTACAAAGAGGCCCCGGCTAGCTCTGTTGTTAGAGCACGAGACTCATAATCTCAGGGTAGTGGGTGCGTGTCCCACTTCAGGCGTCAGGTCCTCCGTGTTGGAGGGTGGGCACAAGACTAACAGCCCTGTCCCGTACAAAACGAATGTTACGGAAACAGCAACAGGATGTTGCTGCCCCTACATGCTGGAAGGCATACTGGGCAAACAACCATCCACCGTACAAAGACGTGTTTAATGATCTCGTCTCTACAACTGTGTCCCTTGTGTGTGACAGGCCTTCGATCCAAGAGTTACATTCGGAATCCCGCGTACAACTTCCCGGTCGAAAGAGACTGCCGTTGAAGTTCATAATTAAAGTCATTAACAAGATAATAAAACAAATAAGCCCTTCGGATAGTCCTTTTGAGGAATAACTGGAGTTAGCACACCAAATAAGCTAAGTTACAACGAATATTTAAAAACACTAAAGAAAGGTGAAGGTTTTGTAGCAGTTGGCCCGCAGAGCTTGTATTTTACGGATCATGTATTCTGTTAATCCTTCACCTGGTTGATAAAAACACCCCTCCACAAGATCACAGAGGCTTCACTTCTTCACATATCTGAGGCTTCATGTATTAGCAGGTCCTGGGCTTCACAATGCTCCCCATTGGCCCAGCCAGCCATTATATAAGCTACAGTACAAAACACTTAGCAGAGGAATCGTAGAAATCAAAAGTATCAGACTCACCAGAAAGCCAGTACATCACCGGACATTTTCCACTCTCTGCCTTTGGAGGTAAATAGATGGCGAATTTCATTCTGCATTTCAGCTCGGTGCTGTTGAAGATGTAACACATGGAAACATACATATGGACAGATATTCTAAATAAAAAATGTTGTCACATTTACAGATATAGTAATTTACTACTAACTTCTGAAATACAATGAAAGACTTAATTGTTTTGGAAATACTTTGTGTCCTATTTCACCTTCTTTCAATGGAAAAGGTAACAGGCTTTGTCTGGGACATTTGGTGAGAGAAGTTTGTCTTAACCTGCAGGACAAGGGGGATCGAACCTCAGACTGAGTGACCCAGGGGGAGCTGTGAGGTGGAGATGGGCTGAGGGAGTGATACTGGAAACGACTATGAAGGGAGGGGTTTGTGTTCGATAGAGCTCATTTCTGTAATGATGGGGATTGGGCATAGCTGCGCTAGAGTTCAGTCACAAACTTCCATTTAAAAGTGAACGTCAATATTCTGCTGTATAGGACCCTAAGAAATCACATCTACAGTTTGAGTATACAACAATTATGTCATTTTTTTCCAGCTTGAGTAGTCCAATAAACAGACAGAAGACACGACACTCATAAGAATCCAGGAACTGGGACTGAGATTCCCAATTTATATTCTATTATGGCGGATTGTTGTCTTAGGGGGGGAAAAAGTCCTCGGACAGAAACTCAGGTTTACTTTAAACAACCCCCACAAGGAAAATTCATGTTGATAAATTACCTGTCATGCTCGAATACTTTCTGGAAGCCGCCGCTGCATTTGTTAGATGAAACCTGTGTCAATGCCATTTCTGTTGAAGAAAAGGTCGTTTAGATACGGTACGGTACTGTAGCTACTGTACAACGGGTGAAACTGGCGACAATTCACGTCTTCATTAGCGGTCCTTCAATAACAGCAGGGAATCCACACAGATTGAGAATAAAAGTAAACCGAACGAGGATCAAGCATTTACAGTACGTTCAAACGCGTTATGTACAGTAACACTGAGGCATTTGGCTAACTACAGTATACTAGCACGGCCTGTGCATAACACCGACCATATTACCTTGCAAAGCAGGGCTCGCAATTAAGAAAAAAAAAGTTATTGAGAACTCCTAATGAAAAGCGCAAGGTTTTATAAATGCATAGTGGGCCAATACTACTAATCCTTCTAACCTCGCTACTTCCAAGTGAACTCGGGTCAAGATGTCTATAAATAACTATCCTGCCGAAACAGTGATCTGACTTGGCTTTAAGCAGGTTTATGGAAGCACTGCAGGTAGGTTTCTAGCGAAATGTGTTGGCGCTCCAAGATCACCTATTTAAGATCGACGTGGACTGCGTTACCCGTGCTGAAAAGCTCGTACCTGTTTTACGGGGAGCGTAAAAACCTGTTATTTCTCTCCTGGTCTCTGGCGCACAGGCTCAGGGCTGTACAACCCCCTTTTCCGTACGGAAACGTGAGGACGTACAGTCACGCCCCCCTACCGTACAAGTCCTGAAGACCACGCCACACTGTCGCTAGGGGGAGCTGTTGTAAAAGAAATGTGCACCTTCTGAATTTTATTTTCCAGAACTGAACACATACTGTAAAATAATTTGTTGAGGTTTGTGTGTGTGTGTGTCTCTAAGTAAGTAAGACATGAAGACATGAAGAGCAGGGTCTGTCAGGCTCTTGTTTAGTGATCTGGTTGTCCAAGCAAGGCTAAATGATTGCTTACCAAAACCCCCTAACTTGTAGAATAACAGAGTGATTGAAGAAGTAACAATTTCAATTGCTGGCAATGAATGTATTGTAAATCCGGAACAAGGTCAACTGGGAGAAATATAAATTTTCTTGTTTTTCCATTTCAGCGATAAGTTAAATGCCGTGCTATCTATTTTATGTTTCCTATTCTTATATTTTGCCAAGGCATGAATTCAGTGGTTGGGTCTGATGCCTAGGCTTTATGATTATGCCTGTTCTTTTGCGGGGTTTAAAACAGTCCTTTTGGCTTCTGGGAATGCGAGTGTGTCTGAGAATTCAAAATATATTTTTTTTGTCTAAGCACATTATAAAACTGGGCCCTGTCATTGACCTTCGTGCATAAAAGAATAATTCATCGAAAAAAATATTTTTGGATACTGTGCATCCAAAAGAAATATGTCACAGCTGCAGCAAGGTAATAAAGTTACTATGTGAACAATGATGAATTCTGTTTTTCAGTAGGGGCACTGACATTTTATTGAATAGACTTAACATTGCCAGCAAGTTTACCCACAAAAGCATCATTCTCTTGGTAAGCAAGCAATATTGGAGCCTTTCTGTTTTTTTCTTTCTTGGTTTTCACCAGGCTAGACATTCTACCGGTATAAATCAGCATCCAAAATCCATATATTTCTTTTTTTCTGAGACAAACATGCGTAAATAGAATAATAATTATCAGTATAGTTTTGTAAAAAAAAGAAACCATTAAGTGATCCAGAAGGTCAGATGCTCAGATTAATCTTGTCTGTGAAGTAGGTATTACTCCATTGCCTTGCAGATTGTACTGTACATGTACTGCACATAATTTGGATTTAAGGACTAGCTATGCATTGTTGTGTGTACTGCAGGCCCCTAGAGATTAGATCTTCTAGGGTTATTATATCTTTATTAAATCTGTTATAAACTGTAGGTGTAGCAGCATTTTTAATACTATACTCATATATAAATTATATAATTTCTAATTATATTAGAAAGAAAAGGTGAAAAGGTAGTCAGTAAAAAAAAGCAACATGAATATACAGTGAAGTACAATCCCAGCCCTGGGATATCAATTTCTGTTTACAGTTTTCTGTTCACAATTACAGTAGACCTAGTTTATTGTTATTTCTAACAGGGAAACTTAAACTGACTTTTGACACATTTTTATCTCTGTGAGCTGGAATCTATACTGTGGTTCAAGGGATGATAGTTTAAACACAAATAATAGTTACAGTTACTATGGATGACCTTAAATCTATTTGCTGTTAACTACCCAACAGGCTCAATGGGCCAGATGGCTTCCTTTCCTTTGTAAGTGTTCTTATATTCAGTTTATGAATTGGGTTTACATTTCACTCTGGAGTCAGGAACCTTGTATGAATGAGAGGTGCCGGTCACTTTTTGAGGTCAGCCATTGAGTAAGGGGTTGCTTAATGCTATTGATTGCTGGCTTTATTGCTCTTGGACTTTAGGCTTCAACAAAGCCATCAGCTGTTGTAGAAGTTTCGTTTTGAAGAGGCAGTGATACTTGTCCACATGTGACAAAACCAGCCCACAATAAATGCAGGCACTGTCACGTCCCCCCTGGAAGACTTTGAAAAGGTAGACCCGACTCCATAACAAAGTGCAAAGAGTGCCTGTTTTCTAATTGTCCTTGTGCAAAGAAAAATATTTACATATGAGACAAACATGATAAACTGCAGTTCCTCCAGGAAGTTTCTCATTAAGAGTTCTTAAAAGTACTGGTCTACTATAAACCAAGCTGTGCAAGAGCAAGAAGACAAGGATATTCTGTACTTGCCGCAGAATCTACCGCTAACTTAAACACACTGAGCTCTGCCCCCAGGTTCCCTCATTCAACAGGCAGGCATCCGTCTGAAGCCAGAGGTGAGTGAGAGTCTGGAACCCGACACAAAGTGGTGCAACAGACAGGAGATAAAGGCAGCACTGTGGGTCAACAGGTAAGACAAATACAAACAGCCACTAATACACAAGTGAAACTAACAGTGCTTATTTACAATAACAATGCAAATGGTTATGCAAATGAAGCATCCCCTGTGTTTCCATTTCTTCCAAGAGGAAACAAGAGAATAATGACGGTGAGAGAATAGAGCCCTCATCAGTGCTCGGGCAGCAGTGCTCTGTTTCTAATATAATAAGAAATTATAGCCAGACTCAAAACTGGATATACTTTAAAAAAGCTGCCAGTCAACACACAACTGTGCATAGTAAACTGTGCTCAGTTCTTTTATTTCTTGTGTTGGGGGTAGCATGGAGGGGACAAGATGGTTCACAGGAAGATCAAGGCATATTTAAGTCATAGGTTAACACTGGAGGGGGGAAGATATGGTGTTCATTCGTCTTCAGTCTGATAAGTGGATACATACAGTACATTGTCACCCCTGAAGAGGTACTGCAATGGCCTGTTTTAAAAGCAAAGACGTTACAGACCATCTCGTTCGGTCTTCCACGAGTGCTGTGCAGCTGGATTGATTGAGAGTATGCACAGACACTGTACATAATTCAGTTTCTCATGAATGTTCCTTACACTAACTATCTAAAAACAGAGTATGGTACGCACAGTTTTAAGACTTTAATTTGCAGTTATTGAAACAGGCATTAGAGGACGCCGGTAATGACTCCTGCAGCTGACACGATGAATGTCCTGCATTTGTGTCTTTCTCATACACAGTAATATACTGAGGCCATATGACAACATTCACTCAGCTGCGTGCTTCAGCTGCAAGGTGCAATGAAATAAATCAAGAAAATGAAAATTGTTTTTAACGACAGGGGCATACTTGGAATGTTTTATGTTCCACCATAGGGTTCATGAGAGTCATATATACTGCATATACACCCTGCATGATCCAGCTTGTTGTAAATGTGTGTATTTGCACTGCAAGCCTATTGCAGCAGGTGAGCTCCCTTTGGAGGTTGGCAGGTGAATCAATGGTTCAATTTCAGGGTGCAGCCAAGCGTGGATTGTGTAGACTACATTAATGTAAATCGAAGCACCTCCAGTAACTTCAAATGACAAACAATTATCACTCACTAATAGGGGAGGACTTGCACCCATTGGGCCAGATTGATCTATACAGTACCTGCTTCTCTGACAAAAACAAACACAGCCAAAAGGTCAACAGATTGTTTTCTGACAATAAACAAATGGACAGCTTTAAAATGCAAAGATATTAATCACATCCTGGGTAAATCCTTGATATATAATATATAAATAGATCACTGGCATTTCTGTGAAACCATGTTTAATAATATTTCCGTTTAAAATTCCCTCCAACATTGTATAACATTGACCCAATCAAACAGGAAGCGATAGTCTGGATTTGGAAGAAGAAAATACATTAAAATTCTGTGACAGTGCACAGTATGCTGATGGAAAGCAATTAAGGTAATCTATTCCAAACCTTACATTATGAGTTTAATGACCTTGGCATGCAACTTCTAGGCTCCTTAAAGCTACTGTATCAAGATACGTTCTGTAATTGGACAAATTACATCGAAAACTCCGTTGGACAGAGGAAGATCTGAGTTGCATGCAGACCAGGTTTGAAATGTTTTATATTCTACTTACATTTTTAACTGGACCAATAAATTTGGAAGGAATGAAGCAACATGTGAAAAGAATGAACCGTCCCATGAAGATCATGCACTGGCCATCTCAGTCTACATCTCTCACCTAAAACAAAACATTTGTCAGCTTCTGCAGTGCATAAGCACAGATGATTTCCCGATCAAAAACCATTTACAAGTGACAGACCTTTTACTTTTCAAGGCTCCTTGACGAATCCGAATAAATGATGGTGTTAAAAACCTTAGGAAGTAGAATCTTCACCCACACGGCTTATATTTCATGACACCTCACACAGAATGTATCTATACTATTCAAACATGGATTAAATCTAGCTCTTTTCCCACACTGTAAGGATGTAAGATGATGTCCTCTTACAATGGCACATTAAATATTAAACTCATGTGGGATACAAACACAATCACTGACATAAAATAGCAGCAGTAGTACTCTGCAGCAGGTTACAGGATGAATTAATATAGAAGCCACGGACAGCCCATTTAGAATGGGTACAACTTTAAAACGCTGCCTGAAGATTACAAGGAAAGGAAATGGAAAATTTTAAAATGAAGTGCTCTCAGGCCATCCATCTCCGAATCCCTGGAGGTACATAGATTTAATATTCAACAATCAGAGATCATTTTATTTTTAATGTAATAATTCACGAAAGAAATTGGAGTTGCTGTAAGCTTTTAGGTTCTAAAACGAGCTTTAAGAAAAGAAAGATATTTAACACTCTTCAGTGCCACAGCAACAGAAACAATTATGGAACAGAAAAGAGAAGCAGTAGATACTGTCAGTGGAAACCATTATTAAACCCTTATTTTGGTAACCTTTTTAGCTTTTGGCAAGTGAAATTCTGGCAAATGGAGATTTTAGCGTGTTCCTTCCCAGCATTCAAGTACAGTTAGATTCATTCAATTTAAATAAGGATTGATTAAATAATCATGAACCTAGTGTGAAGTAATTCCCAAAACAGAGTAGCTGGAATATTTGTTTAATGAGAATCGAGAAATGAGCATACCAAACACATACAATATCATAGCTAGAGGAGAAGTGGACAGTTATTCAAAAAACCAAGACCTTTGTGTCGGGCAGAATGAAGCCAAGATACATCAGATACATCTACATGCTTCCAC